CCCTGGGGGTTTTTAAGAGGAGGTTAGATGAACACCTTGCTGGGGTCATTTGACCCCAGTACTCTTTCCTGCCATGGCAGGGGGTCGGACTAGATGATCTTCTCAGGTCCCTTCCGACCCTAGAAACTATGAAACTATGCAATAATACAAGAACTGGAAGCAACCCTTCTTCCTTTAAAGACAATGGGAGTTTTGTTTCCACTAAAAACAGTGACAAATTAGGTTCTTTCTTAGAGCTTGTCAAAGACAGTGCTGCCCTGCAGCACTCAGAACTGTAGGGAAAGAGTGCTAGTTTTGAGAATGAACTAAGTATAGCAAATACTTCTGGTTTTACTGTGTAATTGTAGAAAAGCTATTGATCTAAGCCTGGTTCACTAAAGAGCTTACCTTGTCTGACTTAAAAAAAAAAAAAAAAAATCCGGGGTAGGGGGATAACTACTTTGTTTCAGCTCAGAAAAAATTCCAAATACGGGTGTGTAAATTAAAACATATATAAAATATGTTTCTTTCAGTCTCCCTAACAATTCTCGGATTGTGGCACTGCTAACGCAACTGGAGAAGATCAACTCAGAATCCTTGTTAGTAGAAGCAGACACTGCCAGATATGTTACCTCAAAGATCCTTCATTTGGCTCAAAGTCAAGGTAATTTTCTCTTTGAACTGTTTTCCTGTTATGAGCACCCTTTCCTCCTCTCCTACAGTTTATCTCAAAACATGTTAATTGTATTAACACTGGGCAGTATTACAAAAGCTGGTATTAGGGGTGCATTGATAGAGATTTTTGGGGCCAATACCAATTATCAATATTCAAGGAGGCATATCGGGCCATACTAACCTGATATCTGATACAGCTGCCTCCAGGTGGTAAGTCTGTTGTGGTGGAAGTGGAAAGGAGAGAGCAGATCAATGCCTCCTGCAGTGTAGGAGCAGGGGACAGGGGCAGGCGGCACCCAGGGGGACAGGGAGCAGGATGGAGGTGCAGCTCGTGCGGGGGGCAACTCCTGCCACTGCTTGTACCCCATGAGGGCAAGGTGTGCCCCCTGTATCTGTGGAGGGTGGGTGGGCTGGAGCTGGCACTGCACTGGGCTCTTCTTGGCACGGGCTGGGCTCAGAGCGGGCACCAGTGGAGCTGGGAGGGACTGCAGCCACCCCAGATTTCGCCACAGCTCCACTCCCAGCCCTGTGACACCAGCTGTCTGGCTCAGCCTCAGCTTTTCCCAGTGCGTGGATGGTGGTGGGACATGGAGCTAGGCTGCACCTGGTGGCATGGGGCTGGGAGTGGAGCTGTAGCAAAATATGGGTTGGCTGCAGGCTCTTCCCAGCACCTCCAGTGCCCACTCCGAGGCTCTTCTGGTGCTGCATGGGGCTCTTCTTGGGGGGGTGGGGGGGTGGGCTTGGAGTTGGT